CCCCACTCGCTACAGTGCGCGTGCGCGAAGGGGCGGGCACCCGTCGCGCCCCGTAGTCCCGCCCCTCGGGGAGAAGCGGGATTGACGCGGCTAGTAGCCAATCCCCTGATAGGAAGTCCTGTCCGGACCGCTTCCGTCCGCAGGGCCTCACCGGGCAGACCCTGAGCCAACGCTGCTGTCGTCGCCGGGGTGTCCTGCGCCGCCTACAGTGGGCGGCGGGTAAGTGGCCAAGAGCGCAGCCGGGGCTGTGGGCTTCAAGGGGTCCGTGCCGAACGAGGAGAGAGGGGAAGGCTGCTGCCGCCCCGGTGGCGCCCTGCTCGCGCTGCGGGCGAGAGGCCCCAGACACCGGCCGCCCCCGGGTCCTCGTCGCGGCGCCACGGCCCCCACGGGACGCTGAGCTGCGACCTCGAAGGGGCGGGCGGAGGCGGCGGCCGGGGCTCCGGGACGAGAGGGAGGGTCCCCGACGGTCGAAGGTCGGGGTGGGCGAGGGCGGCGCCGCCCCCGCTCCCCGCCCCCGAGCCTTTGGTCGCTGGTCGCGGGGAGGCGCGGTTCCTGCGGAGAGGGTTTCTACCTCCGGGTAATTTCGGCACCAGCCAGCTCAGCCCTGCCCCGCAGGTGTAAATTTGTTTTCTTCTCTTTGTTTTTAGAACTTTTATTTGCGTATGGTTGCACACACATGATGATTCCGTTCAGCGGAGGGAGTTCTTACACGTAAAGCACATCTTACTCTCTTTATGTCCCCTTCCCCTCTCCCCTGAGATGCAAATTTTAGGCCTCTTTTCCAGCCTTCTTTTTCCGTCTTGTGGAAAGCTGGAAAAATATCTGCAGTGGTGGAATATCCTCTGTATACTGTAACATTTAAAAGTAGTATGTGATATACGGTGGATGTTCATGGAAGGATTTACTCACGTACATTTGCGGAGAGGCTTGTGCTTTGTCCCTGTAACTTGGTCGCTCTAAGCCTTGATGCCTATTCCAGAGATCTTTAGAGGGTAAAAGAAAGGTACATTATGCCCCAAAACACTTGCTGGATAGGGTTAGGAGGAATTCCTGTCTCTCTGTTAACTCTGTAATAGAAAACGTTTATATAGTTTCAAATGAGAGCTGTTACAAATGTAATCTAGCCCCGTTGAACCTTCTTCCTCGGATGATAGGTATTCTTCCGGCTGTTTGATTTCCTTTACGGAATTCTTAAACCCAAATAAGCATCTTCACTAAAATGACCGAGACTATTATAGGTCTTTTGGTGTTCATCTTGAACATGAAAGGGGCATGGAAAAGCTTTAAGAGAAAGTAAAGTTTTAGGGGAGTTGACTATAGAGAAATATACAGAAGAAAGATTCACCACTTTAACCTAGTTGTGTCACAAAAGTGAGACAGATGCTATCCCTTGACCACGTAAATTGTGCACATTGTCAAGGCATGTTC